TGTAGAGCCAAACCACATCTATGTGACGGAAGTACTAATCCTCTATTGTCCTTCTGTTTGGGTTTCCCCTGATCTGTGGTACATTCAACCTCCTGTATGGAGGAAAGCAAAGCATCCTCTAAATGAACACACCTGCATCCCTCCCTATCCCTCACGCCACGGAAATCAATCACCTTGCTAAAGCTAACTTATCTACATTGTCTAACTGTCTAAACACTTTAAGACAGAAATGTGGTCGAGGCTTCTTGTCCCCAGGGGTTTACTGATGGTCAAGACCACCGAGCCAATTAAACTGGCGGTGCAGAGATAGGCGGGACTAAACTGTGTTTAAGGAGCGAGGTTGTCCTGACCCGTTTGAACCACTGGCCCAGGCGATTGTCTCGCAAAACAGCTGAGGGGCAGGAGATTCCCAGATTCCCATTCTCGAGCTGTCGCTGACAGTGGTGGGCTGCCAACCTTTAATAGAGGGTGTTAATCTTTAAGATATATAAATGTCATGATGTAGAGACAATCCAAACAGTTGACTCAAAACACGTTTTGGCCCTTAAAGGTCCAAGAGCGTTACAAACACTGGGTGGCGTTATGAGACATGTTTAACCCATATATGCAGATTTTTTTATAAATGTTGTAATAAATGTTGTTTTAAATCTAGCATTGATGTATTTCATCAAAGAACAGTCACATTATATAGTTTTCAACTCAAAAAACATATTAAAGCGTGCAGTATCACTTCAAAGAGTTACTTGCAAAGCAACGAAATATATAAAGATCCCAAATTCTGAATGAATTCTGAATATTCAATTCAATTCATCAGTGTTTTTTAAGTAAGGGCAAATGCAAAATTATTGATTCCACTTCCACAGATCCCTTGAAGTACATGTGCACATATGCCTACGTGCAAGTCACACATCTGTTCTCCTGTCAACATATGGCACCAGGGTAATACTTCTTCCAGACGCACTAACACAGAAGCCTGCACGTCATCACACTCAATGATAACAAGTTAGACATCTGCACTCTGATCATGTCCCCACCAGGCAGCTTGTGCACAAAGTTTAACAGGACTGATCCATCACACAATCACTGATGCAGTGGCGCGCGCGCACGCGCACACACACACACACACACACACACACACACACACACACAAACAAACACACTCACACACAGGGAGTCAAGGAGATAATCTAGCTCCATAATTCACCAACTGACTTGTCTTTTAGTAGATGAATGTGCGTCCTCACAACATGCTGGAGGCTTGGTCACATAGTAACTACTCACAGGGATTAAATGACGTCGATCTTTAACCCTGACGAACATCTTCTCTCTGGGTGAGAAGAGTGAACGCTTACAGTAAGTACAGTACAAATTACTTTCTGATACTTTTAGCATTTAAAATCATACTACTAGAAATAAGCAGAGCTATGACGTGGAGATGGATGTCAGTTTGCTGCTGTGAAACGACAAATGTTGGTGCCCTTCCTACCCTTCGCCTCAGTCAATCACCACTTTTAGAGATTTTGTGATTATTGAGAATGAGAATCTTACTTACTGAGACTCAGGTTTGTGTGTTTTTTCCCCGCTTATATATTTGGTTTTGTTTTTAACATGCTCAATATACAGTAAATCGGATCAGTTCTGTTCACTTTCTCTTATAAGAGGGGGACAGATGAGCAAGTGTTGACAAACAAAGGAATGAAAGGGAACTGATTCAAGGATGTATTGACAAAGGAATTAAAGAAGGGGAGCTGAATTTCGGCTTTCAGTTGGAAATCTCATCTTTTTTTCAAGGCTTCGTTCATGGGTATAAAACATCATACAAATTTAAGATTGCTGGTTTTTTTGCAGTTTAAATGACAATACAGATGAATAAAGACATCAGTTTTATGCAAAAGCTGTGATATACTGAGTTGTCTAACAGTGCCGAGTTGGAATAATGCAGCACTTTGCAGGGGTGTGAATGTAGGTTGACAGGGCTCATGCAACTGGTTTCACTGACATTTCGGTTCAGGCTCACATGCACACAGATGCTACTCATGCTGCCAACATGTGAACTGTGATTCCGCACCTCTAACGTGCATCGCCTCACTCAGCTGTGACAGAGAGACACCAAGATGCGTGACTTTTTTCCATCACTAGCATGGTGTTAAAGTTGTGTTAGTTGGTTAGATCATCTGTAAACACTCAGCTTCAAGAGGTGCACGCTTCTTGCTATTCCCATTTATGGACAGCAATGCTTATGGGCCAACTGCATTAGGAACATTAGGGTTTGAAAATTGGGTTTCCATACATAAAGCCTGAAAGACCAATTGCTGCACTCATATTACACTAGTCCGTTGGAGACTAGCTCTATTTGTGCAATTGGTGAAGCGTTTTTTATACAATTCAGAGAATCTATGCAGCATGAAATGAGGTGCTTTTCCATCATGAAAATTTAATTAAGAAAAAAAGGGTAAGGTACCTCCTACATTTCTGTCCAGCAAATAGCTCAAGGGGGAATGATGTACAACAGGGTTTGAGAAAAGTTAAATGACTTGTGATGAGTCTCTTAGATTTATGGCCCTAACTCTCATGCTTTCCACATCCTTACACTTCTTTATTTGCAAAGGAACATGAAGCCAAGGTCAGTCAGAAACAGTCATTGTGTTATTGTTATATACACAAGGATCATGTACTTCAGTTATATCTATAATAATCAACTGCATTTTACTTTTTTTTTGATTGGCGTTTTGAAGATAGAGGTGCGGCATCAACTGCAAAAAGACACTCAGGTGTTATAACGGAGGTGTCATGTTCTATGATTCAGGGAAGAAGCCATCAAACTTAAGAGTGGCTCTGGATCAAGGTCTGGCTTCAGGAATTTTTCTCAACCATTGTGAGAGTTTTTAACATTTTTGTTGATTTTTCAGATAATTCTATTTGAGTTTGGATGAAGGAAGTCACACATATTTAGGGGGATGTTATCGATGATTGTTTGCAATTCCTAGAGGACTCAAATAAAAATATGGATCTAGTGGATTTCAATGTTGTCTCAGCTGCTGTAACAACACTGTAACACGGTAAAAAATAGGGCTAGTAACATGGAACTATTCCCAGTGTGTAGCCGAGAGTACAATTCTAGTTTATTTATTTTATTAAAGGGCATTTATTACACTTGAATGATACTAAAATAAAACGATTCTGTGATTTTCCTGGAAGGACACTGATATATAGCACTTTACTCCATACACCACCTCTGTATGGTAGACACTTAAACTAGAAATGTTTGGTTAGAGATGCTCTCAATGCTCCTCAAGGAGGAACAACTGGTTTTACACATAAAGGTAATGAGGGGTATTACCTAGCGTGTTTGTAATGTCTCCCGTGGCTCAAGAGGAGCTTTATAGTTTGAGAAAATATCCCAGAAGATGTCATCATAATAATCTCGGCTGTGGCTCGGAGACATGCAGCCTTTTTGGAATAAAGAGGAAGAAGACACTGATTTACATGCTGAAATGTTCAAAGAACACATCATTTCTTTCATACTGTCCAGAGCTACATTGCTTCTTTTCACTTTGTGTCTGAAATTCTCTCTAATTGGTCATCTGGACCACTTTTGTAATTTGTCGACCACTTGCTGAGTCATTAGTTGGATGCCTCTTATCCAGAGGCTTCGTGATCAGCTGTAAGCACCACTGTATCACCACAGTAACAATGGCCCCAGTTGTGCTGTACCAATGTGATAAAAAACCAGCTGGTCGGCCATGTTACATGATACTTGGTGATGTTGACGCTTCATGGAAGACAAATGAGGTGTCTTCAGACTCTTCAGGACCAGCGTTATCTGTTGAAGAAAAGGACTTACTTTGCCTCAGACCTTTACATAAACATAAAAGGTGTATGTCACACGAGAGAAAAGTCACAAATATGAGAAGCATAATACATATAATGATGGTCTGACGTTTGGAAAATGTACTTATTAGCTTTGTTTGCCTGAGGATTAGGTGCGGACATCAACAGTCTAGCTCCTCTCAAAGGTCAAATTAAACTGCATACAGGCACTTCACTTATTTTTGGCATTAATCTGTCATGATTCTGAAGTGTAAAACTCACACGCTATGATATTTTTAACAAGCACAACACCAAGTGTTGAACCATCTTCAGTGAGGGCCACATGATGTAGGATGTTTAGATATATTAATCTTTGACAGGATTATTAATCTTAACTAAAGCTTACTTTCTGAGGCATATCACTTCGGTAGATGAGTTGTGTTTGTGTGACAGAAATTTCCTCCGAACCATCACTGTCTGTTATCTGCAGGCCAACTGTGAGTGACACCACCAGGCTATATTAAAATGTTAAAATCACTGCAGGTTTAGCACCTCTAATCGTCCCTCTGTCGCGAAGAATAATTAGAAGCGTTTTAAATGTCATAGAGCCATCAGCATGACACTGTAATTAAAAAAGAAAAACCTTTAATGGTGTCATAATGAACTGGCGAAGTCATTATCGCCATCACTAAACAGAGTTTGTTCCCTTTTCTGACTGCGTGTGTGTGAACATGCTGTCATTTGTGTAATGAATCACATTGGGTTGTCTGTCCTTGGGTAAAGTCTAATAAAGGTTTGATACATTATGAACATTTGGGGACATGTTTTTGGTCCATGTCACCCCAGACAGTTTTCATCCTTCACTCTCTGCACAACAGAGTTAATTATTAGATTCTCAGTTAAATCATTTAAGTCAACTTATTGAACTTCCTGCATTTTGTTTGCTATTTTCTAATAAACACACAAATCTGGACATACAAAGGGAAGACATGGAGTCTACATCTAAAGTCCTGGTCCACAGTAGTAATGATCTACATTCTACATTGTTATCCACTGGCCCTTATGGTTGCATGTATACACACTGTGTGAACAACTGCACCATGCAACAGAACCATGGTGCAGCTGTTCCGTACCACAACCAGTGTGGCCTGGGCGTCAGAATGTTGCTTGGATGTTGCTTAGTAACTGACACTGCCCGTGGCACTGTGCACGGTGACTGGCCCTGGAGAGCTGTGCAGGCGGGCTGTGTGCCTTCCCCCGGGCTTGGTGGTGGTGCTGTGGCCAGGCCGTGCACACTCTGGCTGGACCAGTGGAGCTGCGCCGCCCCCTGGTCCCTGCCTCGTCTCTGCGCTTGAATGCAGATGTGCCCATCTGTAGCGCTTCCTGGAACTGCTGAATATGCATGTTCTGTATGGAGTTTTTTTCCTATCTTTAATCAAGAGCGTGGTCGTTCAGTTCAAGTGCATGACCTGTTGAATTTATGTTCAGAATGTGCATTACTTTTCATCTAAACCCTGCTCTTGCACTAAAATAGCTCCTGTTTGCACTTATGTTTGCTCTGCTTCTGCTCAGACTGTGTGCTTGCACTCATATATATTGAAGATGAAATTTGCACAGATTTCCTGCGCTCCAGCTTTCTGTGAATCATCTGCTCTTGGATTTCCACTGTGCACTTGGAATGTCTTGTGTTACAACCCTGTCAGTTATAATTAAAATATGTTTTTTTGTTTTTTACATTGAGATTGCACTTTCACAAGATGTTTCAGCATCACCTGCTAACCATCCATTCCTCTGTATCTCAGGGGCCGTGCTACACAATTAATAAAGAAAATGAATTCACCTGATCCTTGGAACAGCTTGCCCACTTTATGCTCTGCGTCGCTTTAATGATCCAGCCTGACAGATATTGCTACATAATGCAGTGCAGCACTATCTGCACATCTTCCACGATGTATGTGTTGTACATGACAAACATAAGTCAACAATGCCTCATCCTTTTCTCAAGCCGTGTCTCTTTGAAAGGTATGATAGAGATTTCAGGCATTTAACTGAGGTCCAATGTGAGAATCTTTTTTTCATCACTGCTCTCATTCTGTCACAAGAAACTTTTAAATCTTTATGTTTACGATCTTTCGAACCTCTGAAGCTATTCATAATGATCAAGGTTTTCCTGGTATGATAAATACCTTATTTTAACCATCAGCGACCCAAGGGAATGTCTTTCAATAGCCTCCAGAGAAGTTTTTTTATTTCCCTCTTATGAGAAGATTTGATCCTTTTTTAAATCTCGTTCTTTTTCCCCCTATGTGAAAGTCTGGCCTTGATGAGGTTGGAATCATAGGCCTATCCCATGAGCTGGAATACGATCGCCTTTCACCACAACATTTTTAAGCCTTTTTAGGTTTTTTAAGGTTAATTTTTTAAGGTCAGTTTCAGTGGTAAAATTGCAGACAGTATTTTTAAGGTGAAATAGGCACATTATGTCCAACATCAAAATATGTATATTCTAAAGTCATTTTGACAATCCTTGTTTTGTTACATCATGAAACATCAAGCAGCTGAGACTGTCGTGACTCTGCGATAAAGAGTCATTGGGTTGTTGTTGTGATTAAAGTCTCTTTCGGTTTATTGACTTTTACCTGTGATTCCTTGTGTTTAGGTTTGTGATAAGTTGTTTCCCCCTGAGTTCTCCGCTTCCTGTTTTATTTTGAAATTAAGTTCCTCGTGTGTCTGTAACTTTATTTCCTGCCTTTGTCCTGTTTCCCACCTGTCTTCCATCAAACCCTGCCTCCCTTGCGTGTATAAGTCTCTGTGCTGTGTGTCAGCTTGTGTTTTCTTGTACATTGTGTTCTCTTAGTTGATCTTGTCACCTTGTGACTCTGTTTTTTGAACCCTGTTCTGTTTGCTGTAAGTTCCTTTGCCATAATTAAAGGACACCTTTCGTTAACCTTGCTTCTGCATTTTGGGTCCACCTGCACACCTCAACTTGAAAGTTGTACACGTGTGTATCAGTAGGCCTACCACGACTCCATTATGGAGGTTTTCTCCTATCTTGAATCAAGAGTGTGGTCTTTCAGTTTAAGCGCATGACTTGTTGAATTTATGTTCAGAATGTGCATTACTTTTCATCAAAAGCAATCTCCAGATTGCTCCTGCACAGACTCTGGTTCCAAATGTGCATGCCTATAGGGTATTTTGGCTTCAGCTCTGGCAAGTGGGAGGATGTTTTTACATATAAGCCGTTTGGCATTGTAGTTGAGCTAAAGACTCAATATATTACATCTTCACATCTTCTAATGAACAATACATAAAATACATTCACGTGACCCTCTCTTCTTCTCTCCCATAATATTATTATTAATTGTGTAGCAAACAAAGCTATCAAAACAGAATACAAACAGTGTGTATGTGTTTGATAGTCTGTAGTAGGAATGGGTGGGGACAGAGATGAAGACAATTTGTGAACAATAGGAATATTAAATGAGGCAAAATCCTGAAAGAAGTTCTTTCATGAAAAAAAAAAAACTACTAAATATGAATATCTAGGGGATGGGTGGGACAACACATATAGCAATAATAATAAATAAATAAAAATAAATAAATAAAAACTCCAGAAAGTCAGTGTTTCTTTAATCCATAACTGTGACTGTTTGATTGTTCCCTAACCTTAATCACAATTAATATCATGCCCATTGTCCCCTAATATTTACAAAGTAGTTATTTTAACTCAAATATAATATGGTCCTGACCCCAACTGAGACATTTTTGCACCTTAATAAAATCTAGATCCTACAATTGCCATTTTTATTTTATTTATTTTTATTCATGAGTTTTTGAAAGCCCAGACAAATTATGTCCTGCTGATATGGGTGTTCGACACTTGTTCAAGTCTTCTCTATGGGCATTGTGATGTTGAGCCGGTAACAAACAATGTTTGTAATCGAGAACACATTTTACCAAACACAAAAACACACTTTTTCATCAGCCATTTTCATTAAAAAAAACTCCAAGCAAGGATACACACTCAGCTACCAGCAGCTGTGTTCAGAGACACAAATGATTCATGGAAAATCACCGCACACAGCTGCACAGGATTTATCTGTATCTCATAGAGCCCTGCGGCTCTGAAATGCAAAACATGTGAACGAGGTGAAATTAACATGTGGACCTAGACTGAAGGATCTCATCATATAAATATACCTTTGTGCTGAGCTTTCAGCGATTAACACAGGTAATGCTGTTGGCAGTGGAAGGCAGAAGGACGAGGTTAATGGTGACATCGCTGTATAGCAGAGGAAAGCAAATCAGGATTTTGGCAGAGCGTTCAAAAGGTGCCAGCTGCCTCAGCCCCGGACAGCTGCTGGTGCTGCTAATTTCAGCCGCTATATAGAATAAGGCCGTTTTCACAACTACTCTGTACTTTACTGAAAAGGAAGCTGAAACACAAGCTGTGTGTCTTTTCTACCCATAGGGAAACTGAGAATCAATTTGTTCCTGTCTGGACGTGTATTGTGAAAAGTAATACATGTCACCACACCGTGCAGAAAGTGGGGTTGCAGATATTCTCTGCCTCTAAAAATACCTTCTCCTCCTTCCACTGTGGTTCTATGGCACCACTGATAACTACACTAACAATACAAATTGATCCCTGCAGACCTTTGTAAGAGATGAGTGCGCTGGGGGGGGGGAAATTAAGATGTAGGAGATGACATGGTTGTGTCTGGAAAACAATTTGAAATGCAGACAGCAACAAAGTTGACTGAAGACATCATCTAATTGGCTCTCACATCAAACATTGTCTCTTTCTGAAATACAATATGACTAATGTGTCTGACAACTCTCTATCTATCAATGTCCTTATTAAGTGAAGGTAATTTTATTATTTAGTTTCTGTTGTTTGTATTATATTGTGTCTAGCTCTTTTTATTTTTTACAGAGATATTGGCCAAAGGCCTTAGGAATATGACACATTCACGAACATAATACACAAACAATCCACCTACACTTCAGAGATCTGTACAGTGCATCACGGAATATGTAAATGCAACTGATGTCGCTGGTTGGAGGAGGAAAATTGCAAAGGCAAAGTGGATTTTAAAAAGAGAAAAAGGATAAAAAAGAGAAGGTGACGTGCTTTAAAGAATTGAGCTCCAGTGAGCTACGCAGTTGAGTGTGTCTTCTCTAAACGCTCTTCACACAAGATTTCTCATGGCAAAAGAAAAGCAAACGGGGGGAAAAAGGCCAACGTTAGAAATAAGCGGCAGGAGCCTCAGTACAATCAGACAATAGATGCAAAATGCTGTGGTAGCAACTAAACGCACTTCAAACACCACAAAGAAAGGAAAAAAATTTAAAAAGCGAAAGAAAGGAAAGCAAAAACGGCAACATAACCGATGGCTCCTGCAGCTCTTATTTAACGGCCCCCTTTAAAAAAAAAACCCACAATGCTTTGATGTTCCGAGGTGATATTATTGGACACGGCACAGCAGAATGACAGGTAGACAAGTGCTGCTTAACAAGGCAATCGACAGGGCAAACTGTTCCTGTTCCCTGACCACACTGACTCTTCGTCCCTCTGCGACAGAAGGCTTTGAAGTCATCAGACACACACACACAAAGCACCATTGATTCATTCCATCGCACAAGGCCATTAAGTGTCTGAACTTGCTGTGTCTCGGAGACTGAATCATTGTTTTGTTTTTTAACAAACCATGAAAGATATCTACATCAGTGCTGCTGCAAGTGAAGGTCTGTGAAAGTATTGCTTTTTATTTGGTTTTCAGCCTAGAGCAGCCGTGCAGCTCTTCTTGAGACTTGCGGTTTTGCATGAATTTATCTGTGTGCCGCACTCGGTTCAAAGCGAAATGGACAGTTGGCATTATACTTCAGGGTTTGTCTCAAAAGGTCAAAGGTAAACTAATGATAAAACATTAACAAACCAAAAAAGCATTTATTTCATTAAGTAGAATAAACATGAAACCTCTTTATGCAGCAAGAGTGACAATAACAGTGAGGCCAGATTCCAGAACTCTGAATTCCTGTCAGAGAAAGAATTGACAAATAAGTGTCATATTATATTACATTAGAAATATTACAGGCATATTTATGGACAAAATGGCAAACAGCAAAGATGAGGTCAGCACAGTTGCACAGATTAAATCAACATTTTGCTTCGATCACTGTGAATAAAAAACCTCACCTGTTCTCGGCCACTGCAGCATTCAGGTCAACTAAGCATTACAAATGTGTTTCTCCCACTCCCTGGCCTGATGAGGCAGATTAGCAAGAGGAGGAGAGATGGAAACGAGGACAGGACACAACAGAGCAGAATATAACACAGAGTGAAAGAACTCTGGCTTTGACTGATGTTTTTATCTTACTTTTATTGCAACTACATTTTATGT